TCGTACCAAATTGAAATGGTGAATGCTTCCTATGGTCTCAACCTCGGCTATAAATGACTTCCTTACAGGACCAAAACCATCAAGGCATTTCACTGCAATTTGAGCACCACCAGGTAATGTTCCTTGAAAAACACAACCAAATCCTCCCTCGCCAAGCTTGTTGCTAAAGTTGTTAGTCGCAACCTTTAATTCTTCATAAGAGAATCTTGAGGGTGCTCCTGATATGTGGCCCAGATAATCCTCCTCAACATCCTTTGGATCCTTTTTACTTTCTAGGAAAGAGAGAATGCAGATAATAAGAAGCACAATAAAAGAGGCTCCAAGAGTGGATCCAAGTATAACTCCCATATTCTGTCTTCTCCCTTTTTTAGATGAAACTGGCTGTGGAGAAATCGGTGCAGTTGAATTCCCTTTAGGTAAAACTGGCGATGGTGATGGAGGAATCTGTGGAGTTGGAGAATTCTGAACCTTTAAAAAGAGAGATTGATTGAAAGATGCATCCACTTTCTTGAACGATAAAGCTTGAGATTTAAAAAAGCACAGGCCAGTTGATGAGATATTACTATCATGTTCATGTATAAAAAGAGCATACTTGCAAGAACAGTTCTTTAAACAACCTTGCTTGCAGCTCTCTTTGTCTGTTTTGTGATAATTACCTCGCCCAAAATCATGAAGAACAAAATCATGAAGAGCAAAATCAACGTCCTTGACTTCAAGAAGACTCTGGTTAGGAGACTTACAAGATATTGGATTATATCGAGAACATGTAAAATTTTGCTGTGAAGAATTTATTTGCCTGAAATACGTATATGTATCTCTGTTTTTATCTGCTTCTGGGCAGCTGCAGTATCCCTCCTGTGAACAAATTCCATATTCTCCGCACACCAATGGGTAACTACATGAATCAAATCTCTGGAACAAATCATAGGCTTTTTCCCAACCTGTTTCTGTCCCCCAGAACTTGCTCAAGTGCCCATCATGGTCTAATTGTATAACACTAAAAGCTAAAGTTGCAATTCTAACTTCTGGAAAGTGAAAGGTACCAAAACTGGTGGAGTCGTATTCAGCATAAAACTGGCCCGTTTTGCTTCTTAATTGAGAACCAGGGGCTTGGTAATAAAGCAGGGTAGCATCTGATTCCATATAAGCAACAAAAGAACCATTATTATCAATTGAAAATGAATATAAACCCTCACTCCAATTTGTGGCTGACATATTTGCCACCAATTTTTTCCCAGAAACTAGTCTCTGTCCTGGCACCAAAGAGTCAGTCGGGTGATCAAAAGACTGCCAAACCATCTCCTTGTTTCTATCAAACAGCATAAGGTTACCAGAATCGGTTAACATCAATTCCGAAGTAGATTTACCTGCTATTTTAGTAGACCAAACCAAAGTGCTGTCAACATCTTGCAGTGTTAGATCCCCTTGTTGGGAAAGTTGCAATTTCGCCCCACGTCCAACCGGATTGTTTCGATTAGCAGACCATATCATTTTTGAAATTGGATTATTTGGATATGAGCTGCCTCCAGGAACGAAGATGGAGATAGCAAAGAGGCAGGTGTTGTTTTCTGCAACTTTGCAGTGGAAGCCACAAACGAAAGGCTCATTGACGAAGATAGGTTGCAGTGTCAACTCTTCTGAGTCCCATCTAGGGTCTGAGTTGTTGTTAATCCAAGAAATTGGAGCCTCCGCACTTAATGGATAATCAGAAGTCATTTCACCATTTATCAGAAGCAATGATGTTATTAACAGAGCTAGAAAGTAGCCAGAAGTATTCCGTTGCCCAGCACCCACTATCATTGTTCTTATCTTATGATCTTATGATGAAAAAATTGTTGGGAAAAATGACGCAGCGAAATAAAATAATTCCTGTGAATAAAATACGTGAATAATAACAAAGAATGGTGAAACAGGCGGCTTAGTCAACCAATATTAACGGTTAGTGAAAAAGGCGACTTAGCAGACCAAACAAAATAAATGGGCGGTTCAACCTGCCACTTAAGAAATAAAAATAAAATGGGCGGTTCAACCTGCCACTTAAGAAATATAAATAAAATGGGCGGTTCAACCAGCCACTTAAGTGGGAAAATAAACAAGCAAAATAACACCAAATTTTACGTGGAAAAATCCCCAAAAAACTATTGAGGGAAAAAACCACGGGACAAACTCCGAAGGGTATTCCACTACATGATAAAATTGTACAGAGTATACACTCAAGTATTTTTCTCTCTCTTGGTGTTTCCCACTCCCCCAGGATATGATCACAATCCTGATAAACTCACAATTTTTATCACTCAATGTACTCTCTCTACGGAGCACACTCACACCTAAGCTTAATGCCTAGCTTTCACCCCTTTTTTTCCCTTTCCCCGAAGCCCTCTTTTTGCTCAATTTGGTGCTGCAC